TATAGAGTCTCTGTCGTCACACACTGTGGGTCTGCAGCCATCAAAACAAGCAAGAGTGAGCGGTACTGCTATGCACTCATTTAGCCAAGTCCATACTACCTGGCAACACAGATGGCATCTCTAGATTTCCTTTATTACTATAATATATCTAAGCATTCTTCAGATAGCTTTTTCGGTTTTGAAGAAGTACAATATACATCTTTTCCAGCTTTACTAGTAAGAGAAGATCCACAGGTCAATCCAATATTGACCCAAAATACTGATTCAAACACTCACACAAAATAATAACTTTCTCTCTTTGAATTTCACATAACATGATTGATTCAGTCAGGATGTCTGTGAGCAAACCCAATCAGCGTGCAAATGTTGGCTCAACTGTATTCTGTAATCCACAAAATTGTTGAGTATCAAAGATGTTCCCATGAGTGATCTGGTATCCTATATACAAAACTGCAGGTTGTAACAAAAGGCTCTACTTGCTGTGTATGTCAAAAGACCCATGTAAATCTCAGTGTTCATGAGTTTATAACCAAAGTTGAGCACATGAGGGTTTTTTGTCGGTTAGGGACACATTTTACACTGTATCACCCGGTTTCTCATTTGTACCTTCAGTAAACTTAAACAGGGAAACACAAGAACTGCTGGAAGCTGTATTGCACTGAGGTGTGCTTAGAGAGTAAGAAAGTTGCCATACATGTAGATACACAAGTTCCTTCTTCGGTAAAATGCAATGTCCCAGTGTTCAAATACTGTTTCTGCTAAAAAAGTTGTTCATTGAGAACAGTGCTACTAACGATAGCCTATTTTGATAAATATTTAAAATATAAGAGATATAAACTGAGACTGTTGTCATAAAGTGCTCTCTCTGTCCTTGAGCTTTTTACACAATAGCACTGGAAAGTGCTTTTAGCAGAACCAGGTGTACTCTGGATTAATCTCTCATGTTTACTATTCAGAAACCCTTCCACAAGGAAGCATACTGCTTTCAAACTGCTGTCAAACCGCAGCACACTGACATTACTTATAGCACCATTTCTCTCCTATCAATTCTCTTTTCCCTCCTCTGTCAAGATGATCATCTGTGTTGCTACTCCATTTATGCCACTCATTTTTACTTGTTTTCAGTTATGCTCATCAGCTCACACACCAGTGTTTAATAATACTTCTAGTCATGTTTGTTTGCTTCTTGAATGTATGCATAAATAATTTTAGGAAAGCACCTACGTGAGTGGACACAGTCAAAGCCAAATTCATGTGAAGCCTACACTTCAAACCTCGAGCCTATGCTCCAGTCAAGTGCAAGCTAACTCTCAGTGGAGTTTAGAAGTTTAGAAGCTGTCTCAGTGGAGTACTGCACTATTGCTAACAAGTCCTGCTACCAATCACATCCTTAGTCTTGTTCTGTTTCAAAGAACTGCATTTTCTATATTTACCTCATAGAATAAACACTGTCAAAAAGAAATGGTACTGAATTGGGAAACAGAAGACTTAATTCTATCCCTGCTTTGCTACTGACTGTGAACAAGCCAGGCCACTGATTCCCTTCACATCATTTGTCTGCCTTATTAATGTACACTGCAAGCTCTGCAGGCCGGGAACATCTCTTACAAACTGTTTGCAAAGAGCTTCTTCACACAAGGGGATTTTGAGCTCTCCAAGAAAGGGTAAACCTGTACTAATATAATACTGCTTCTGTTACCAGTGGTAAATTTCAAATTGTTTGCATTGAGCAAAATTGTCTATCAATAAATATTACATATTTGGCTTCCAGGTGGCTTGTTAACTGATTTTGTCATTCTTGGAGGCAAGGACAATATTGTTGTAAGCAGCCATTTCCCATTACAACACTTCAGTGATCCTGATACACAGCTATTCTTGTTTATTCCTTTGGTGACTGTCGGGTTCCATTCTTCTTTCACCCTTATGATTGCCACAAGAAGATGTTACCACTGGTCTCATACACTTGTGACAGCCTTCTGAAAGAATTCCTATTTTGGGTACATACTAAATTACTTCTATTCATTCGAGAGTGAACTGTAATCAGCAAGGAGCTCTTCATCATTCTTCGGAATATTTAGTACCCTTAAAGTGACACCATTTGCTGTCCTTTCAGGAAGCAGCTTATTGCTCTAATTCCTTCTTATGAGATCCTCCAAATTTTGCAAGTCTCATTCTTCATCCAGTCATTACCAATCTTTCCTCACCATGGCTCTAATTTCACTACTTGCCCCTTAGCCAGTAGCTATGATACTGATCCCCCCTGTACACAGTTGAATTAGTGTCTAATCTTCCTCTCTTTTTTCAAGGACAAAACACTTACCTGAGGTACCAAATTAAGTGTCTCCACACGTATTTCACTTCTATCCTTTCTATATTTTTTTTACTGTTGTTGTTGATATCAAATTACTTATTTAAGATGTCAACTTGGCACTTTCTTGCTCACAATAATTTCTGTTTAATGTTTGTCCATTCAAGCTTCATTTCTTTTATACAGGTTTCAGCTACCATGAAAGATCTTTCCTTCTCTCCAAACAAAAAAACAAATGTAGCTTTCACATTCTCAGCTATGTTTTGTATCAGCTGCCTGAGATCCTAAAGTAGCTGTCAAGCCAAATCTAGTTGTTCTGTGAGCTGTGAAACCAATAAAGTCTCCTATGCTGAAGTATTTCCTATATCCCTGCCCCATACTCCTGCAATTATCACAGCTTTTCCCATGTCCTCTATAATTTCATTATCTGTAATACCATCAGTTTTCCTTCCTGACCTCTAGATTCTCCCACAGTATCTTTCTTGGGCAAGTTACATAAAAATGGAAGAAAATGGTCTTACCAGAAATTCTGCATTACCACAAAAGAAAACAACTTAAAAGCGTCAGCTGAGTACAAACCTATGTTGCATTTTTCTTATTCTGCATGCAACTCTGTAGGACTAGAAACATGAGCTAGCTAATTTGCTCATATGTGAGATTAACTCCGAAATTACAGATGCAACTTAAATGCCAGAAGTTAGTATTTCACTCGCACTGAGATTTTACTAGCATTCAGCTTCTTATGCAAAAAGCCCCAAGCAGCTACCATAGGAACTCAAACACCTCAAACTCTCAACTGTCTTTCTTGAGCTGACAAATTTCCACAATAAATAAATACACATACACAAATATCTGACAGAAAAAACTGCAAATACAGAAGAATAAAATACACTTAATTAAATATCAAAAACAAAAATATAATTCATACACTGCTGATGATATTAATCATTGCAGTATTTACGACACTTAAATACAGAAGTATGGATTATACAATCTGAAACAGCTTTTGAACTTCCTATCTGCTTTAGAAACTGAGAGTGGAAGCAATGCATTTAGGCCCAGTTTACTAAATAATAAAAAGTCTTGACTACACATGGTAATTCTGACATTTCAATGAAATGAATTAAGTCATCAGCAGACCTGTATATTTGGAAAGCAATTTTAATTTACCCTTGCAACATATTGTATGTTGTAGCCAACAACAAACTTGGTTACAAGCAGAAAACTGGGCTCAAAATCTGTGTTTCATGCTCACATAAAATAGTAGTAACTCCAATACCTACAGCTTCTCAGGAAATGATAAGTGGTTCAGAAGCTTCTGACAGAACAACACAGACACCCAGATACAGCAATTGGTAAATGACAGCTTCTACAATTCACTTTTTTTTTATTCTTACATTTTCATCTGTATGTTTTCACATCCAAGTAAGTGAAGCACATTGTCCTTAATGCCATGAATATATTCCTCAACACTACCCACAGGTGACGCATTGGAGACTGACAACAATTCGCATTTCTATACCTCCCTTTGTGTGCTGGAATTCCCTAAAACCCTTTGCAAAGCAATAAATATCATATCCAAGGAGAAATAGTCATAGGTCATCCATATAGTAGTGACTTTCTGTACCCAGGCTTAGCAGCCATTCTAAGTACAGCAATACTTCTGAAATATGAGTGCTAATTAATCTGAAATAATTCTGCCTGTGAGGGATCTTTTATATAATCACCTACACCACTACAGATTGCTTCTGCAGTTCTTTGATACCACTGCAGAAGAACAGCAATTTCATTAAATCAGTACTTGCACTCTGTTGAAAGGCCAGTAGGTTTCCTCAGGTTCCTCAAAATGCCTTAAATGTGTGATCTTATGGTAAGTTCCAGCTGTCCAACTGAACTGACATATTCACATACAGGATAACAAAAACATTTATAAAGCAACTGCAGCAGCACTGATACAGGCAGCAAAGACAACAAGGAAGAGAAAGTGGAACCTATCTTTCCATGCTTAGTACTGCATGATGAATATCTCTCTGCATTTACTGAAGAGAACAGTTAGCTAATCTTCAGGAGCTGAAATTCAGACACCTACTTATAGCTGCTCTTCCACGCTCCCTGCTACTCTCTTAGCTCCACACGTTTATGAGTTCAGTGGTTTGGAGTACACTTCTGTGGGCTTCCTGATCTGGAACCATCCCTCTAGCAGCAGGTTCACCTGTGTGCACGTGTGCGCAGCAGCCCAGGGAGCACCAGCAGCCCTGTAGCTATCCTCCAGGGGTCACAATTGGGTTACAAATTCTATAAAATGTGATGACTGTGCAACCTGATTTAGAGCAATTTATTCACATCCGTCTTCATTAAGATTCAAATGGAATAAGTAAGATAGAAATTGAACAGATACAGAAACTGTGCATGGCTTGCTTCTGTAGTCAGTAAACATTTATTCACTAGGCACAGCTCTCGCTCGTGCTCTCTCTCTCATATTCTCTCTCTTCCCCTATCCTTCCTGCTTGCTGTTTTAATGCATAATTAAGAAGGTCAGAATTAATGAAGCAGTGTGGAGTAAAGTTCAAGGAATCCCCAGGCACTATTTATTCTATTAGATCTCAGGCATGAATGTCAGATTGGCAGGCTCAGAGGCAGAGGCAGTGTAGCTGGCAGCAGTCCAGAAGCAAAGCTACCGAGGGAAACTTACCTGCAGTGTCAAGTCATTGCGGAGCTCCCTCCCTGCAAAAATCACCCGCAGCTGGTCAGCTGGAACTCCCTGTCGCTGGGCAACCGCCTCCTTCAGCTGGAGGATGCTGGCATCCGGACCAACCTCCACCGGGAAGCCATGGCTGGAGTTGAACCTGACAAACACTGAACAAGAGGAAAACACCTTTTAAAGTGAGCATTTCTCACAAGGTGCTTGCGCTAGAGTGACTACGAGAGGCTTGCCCTTCAATTCCAGGGAGCCTGTACTATTTTCAGAGAACATCTATTGATACTGCAGTGTACCGCTTTGAAACTCATTACAGAATAGTTAGTGACCAATAAACAAAACCCATGTGTTTCCTCTTGGAAGTGTTAGAAATTACAAAGAACAGTCAGAATCAAAAGACAACCAGCTAGGCAGCTGCCTAAGTAGTTGCAAATTGGCACAATATTTTCAGTCCAGTCCTCACCTTAGCGGGCACGGGGCACACATGCTTCTGTGCCCCTTGTGCTCTGCCCACTGCATGTAACAAACAAATGCAGGAACCTGAGGCATTCTACAGAGACAAAATGCATTCAATAATACAAGAGAAAACAATTCCTTTTTACACCGTAAAGCGCAATCATATAAACTTGTTTCCCACAGATAAGAAGACAATGATGGAGAGAAAATGACAGGCTAACAGAAATGTCTGGGAGTGTTGTATTAGAGTGTGGTCTTTTCAGAGTTCACTACAATATCTGCAGTACGTAGCTCCCGCCGGCATCCACCTTCAGTGCAGAAAATCACTACTGCACCAGTCATATCATTTTTAGAGCTGCAGCAACTGGTTTATGCATCCAGAGAAGCCTGGCAAATAAACTCATCAGCTTCCTGCCATTCAGCTGGCAGAGCTGCTTTTCGTAAGGAGTCTGAATGTGCTCATTGAGACCATGGTCAGGGGAATGACTACAAGAACCATGAAACAGGAAAAAACCTCATTCCATCCGTATCAGTCACGGAGATTGTAGGAACAGTAGACACGTCCCCAGTGGACCACTTCAACCAATAGCTCTGCAGGCAGGAAGGAAGCAAAGGATTGAGCAAAAGCCCTTATAAAACAAAAAATCATTTATATCAATTAGATAGTGGGTACCTGTCACCTAAACTGCTTGGATATTGATTGCAACAACCAATCTTCTTAGAGATTTATTTCCCATTGCCACTGCAATGTTTTATCTGAAGATGTTATTCCTTTGCATTTTTGATGACTGACAGAAGAATAAGCTCAAAAGTATGTATATAGTTTAAAGAAATAACTCTTTTTAAAACTGAAAATTGGATTTTTATGATTTTTCAAACACATAGTCTACCTGACCACTCCAAAGTTGTCAGATACTTGAAGAGTATTTGAACATGGCTGAGAACACTGCCATTGTTTTGCTGAGCAATGAATGTTGTAAATATTTGCAATTTCAGGTCTTCATTTAAGGTTTGGCTAATCTTTAAGGGACAAGGCCATATACCAGTAACATTTATACAATATTTTAAGTTTTGCATTTGAAAGTACCCTCTTAATGTACTAAAATGTAGGGTAAGATTGCACAATGCTGTGTCAGGCATGGTGCAGCACATATGCCCTGCAGTGTGGTATGTAGTCTCCTGTAGTACATCTCATTACTGGTTTTGATTTCTATTTAAAGGTGTGCTGCAAATAACTAAACTGTGGAAGCTGAGTATTCAGACTGTTCAGAAAAATCCACAGAATTTTAAATTCTTTTAATTGTGGTTTGGAGAGTAAGGGATTTATATGACAAAAAGTAGTTCCAGCCAATGGGAACTGAATATTTCCCATCTTTCCAGGAACATTCATAATGCACAATTGTAAATAACATTATCTGGTCCAGTAGCAAAATATATAGTTAAAGCAATGGAGAATGTACTTTTTAAATATGCTAAGTTCTGACTATCTGACTATGTGCATATATATAGATATATATTTATATAGACATGCTCACATCAACATATAAAATGCATACATGTGTATCTCCAAAGACTTCTTCCTAAATAAGCCTCTTCAGTCTCATGAAAGGCAGTGCTACTGGTTTTGGAAATGAAAAAAAGTTAGCAAGTGCATTGACTCTGCAAAATAAATGTGCTGGTAAGAGGAAGGTGCTTGATAAAAGAAGCATAAACAAGTGTCATCTGAATTAATGATAAAGCAGTGCTCATTTTTAAGACAGTATAAATCCAACAGACTTACTGGAAGCATAATTCATGTTTGCCATCAACAATCCCCATCCCTTCCCTCAAGTACATTTATTTTTAATCACTTCAACAGGTATCATTTCCTCCTCCCAATGTCTATGAGGTTTCAGTCTCACAATTGTAACCACAAGCTAACATGGAAAATGGGTGTGTGAGCACAACATTTTGCACTCCACAGCAAAGACTACAACTGCTCTCTTACAGGTTTGAAGAACTAACCCAGAAAAATGCTAGAATGCCAAATTTTGCTTGCTGGAATGTTCTAATTCACAAATAAACACATTTAGTCTATTATAAAATATGCAATCCACCAACTCTTTTTAATATAAAAGAACAGAAGAGTCTTTTGCTTACTTGCACAGAACATAAAAAAAAAATACAAAACTTCAGTCTGTGGAATAAAATGAGAATTTCATCAATACACTATTTCAATATGTCTTCTTAGGAAAAATAAACTTATTTTCTTTTTGACATTTCACCTCAATAATTAAATAACCACTATGGAGTTGATACTCTTAACAGCACACGTTATTCAAGAGATCACAGGTGAAGTTATGCAGACATTTGAGACATTTCCAAGCAAGAATACATGCTTGGGAAAGACTTAGAATATAAAGTTTGTCTACTGGAAGTTAAATAAATATTGGTTGTACAGAAGACTAGAGAATTTACCTAAGGTCTAAATTGCTGATGAAAATCCAAAAGAAAAAAATCAAGTTACTAAAAATAAGAAGTAGCCAAACTGAGCTGAAGAAAGGAAGCTCCATTTGTATCAATTCTCCTACTCCCACATCTGTAAGAGGCAACAAACAGTAAAACTTGTCTGCTAAAAGGAAACTTGGTGAGACTTGACTGTCGTGTCAAAAGATACTCTCTGTAAGTATCACAAGGATCTGATTCCCAGAGGGATCAAGAGGTACCTAGGTGCATTTATAGATCTCTCTTGGTATCCGTCTGTGTCTCTACCTACCTTTAAAATCTCACTTTTAAGTCCACACATTTTAAGCACAGAACCGAACGGAGGAAAGTGATACGTATAATTGAAGGAATGAATAAAACAGAAGTACATCAATATTTCACTACGTCTTTCAGATATCTAAGATGTACATCTACATGCAACAATTTTGGTTTTACATTTAACAAGTTGGATAGATTTAATGTCTTGCTTGGAAGGATCAGCAAGTGCTGCACAAGGGAATAGTTGTAGTTAAGTAACTTTTACATACTTCCAGAGGAATTTCCCATTTTTCCTATGAAAATGCCCATTTTCTCAGCATGTACATACACAGTAAGGTCTGGCATAACAACTCAAGTGGTGGAAATTGGCTTCTTCACAGACCACAGGCTTACTCATCTGGCACGCTACTTCTGCAAGCAGGAGAGGGAAAGTTCTCAGTTCTGGGTGTAAGAGCAGGAATTGCATTTTTACTGAGCAACACACTTCCCCCTAGAAACTGGTATTACAAAATCAGAACACACAGAGTTGCAGGGAACACGAAATGCATTCAGGTGCAAAGAAGATATAAGAGGCTGTATATACAGAAATGATGGTCTAGCACGCAGCAGCAGGTTAAAGCTGGCTAAGCAGAATGTAACAAGGCTTCACAGACAGAGGCTAGCAATTTATGGAAAGAGAAGGGAGGAGTAAAAATGCACCCCTCCACCTCTCCCTGCTGCCCCAACTGGAGCAGAGAGTGGAGGCATACATAGAAGTAAATACTGAGTGGAATTAAAATCTTAGTTCCAAATTGTGGGAACTTTTGCTATTTTGGCATTGGTTTTCACCTCAAATACAATAAAAAATGCAATGTAATGACTTTTTATGTTCCTTTTGTTGAACGAGAAGTACCATGTAAGTGTTAAAGTATTTTAATTCTGCAGCATTTTATGGAAATAAATATTTCTTTATTCTTCCAGTCCTGTTGACTGGACCCCTCTCTTTGGATTCTCTTTCTCAGAATGAAGCACTAGCACAAATCTCAGAAAGAAGTAGTGCTGTGGTCATAGGGAAACATTGGTGTATCATGAAAGAGGCAGCCCAGTGTTTCTTTTGATTAAAAGGTCCCAAGGAACTCAACTTCTTGGCTTTTAGGTGATTTGTATTTAAGTGACTGTAGAAAAATTAAGAAGTTATTACCTCTGAAGTAACTTGTATTAATAAATTAATGTACAATGATCCATTTTATTCATATGAATACAATATAGAAGTGTATCAGTTCCCAAACAAAGCATTGCTATCCTGAAGATTTCATGTTTCACAAACAGTATGATACATCCACTATCAAAATGGAGTCAGCAGCAGAATTCAATCACTTAGGATACATCTTGATGAATAACTTTTCCCCATAAAGTAATACAAGAATTATTAGTGAAGGGAATGTAAGTGAAGACTGTGACTAAAATCTTGGGTGGTTTAAGACAGTACTGCTCCTGGCCATCTGTCCAACCCTTATGCTGGAGGTTGCTACACATATAACTGGGATACTGAAGGAAATGTGTACCTGCATCTCAGCTGTGCCTGTTTACAATTCAGCACCTTAGTACAAACTTAACTGGAAATTTAAGCAAATGCAGATACAAAGCTGTTACACTCAGATACAAGCAGATGTGTAGGGGAGCTGCAGAATTTCAAGTGAAGGCTGCAAGAAAAGTAGCAGGCAGGCACCCCTGCCAGGATCTCAACAGGCCTGGGATTCACCAGCCTTTCCTCCTTGGTAAGTCATACCAAAAGTGCCAAAGCTTTAACCCCCACTGTCCTCAATCCCACAGGTATTCCAGTTCTGAGTCAAGAAGATAAATATTGCTTGTTGGAGAAGCTTAGGCTCTGCTTGTGAACAAACTGTGAAGGCACAGTCCCAATATATAGAATAAAAACAAGTGAACTGTGCCAAGAATAAAAAATAAAATAAAATAAAATAAAGTTGTAGATGTTTTTTACATTGCTACATGCAAAACACAAATTTCCTTTCTAGTTTTAACATAAAATAGCCCATTATTTTTCTTACTAAAGGAGTGAATCACACAGTCCTGCTTCGCTGCACACCAAAAAGCTATAACCTACAATATATGATGTGTGGCAACAGAACACACATATTTAAACTTTAATATCTTATAGCTAAGCAATTATATTGTGTCCATGATAACTATGACAGCTTCAGGTACTCTTTATTCCTCACTCTTCCTAGGGACAAAAAGAATATAACTAAGGTTTAACTTAAGGATGGTGTGAAATATCTGAAACTTTTTTTTATTTTTAAAGCCCTTTCTCTGCTTAGGTCAGAGGAGAAGAATTTTCAAATGTATTTTCTTAAGACTGGGAAAATAAGTCTTGTGACAGTACCTGTCTGTGGTGGTCAGCTCCTCTTTGCTTCAGCACATGACTTGAGAACACCGCCCTTCCTAGCTCAAAACCCTACAGAGTCTAGACTATTTCGCACTAGACAGTATTATCCCTTCCTTTTTTGGTATGAAATTCTTCTCATAAACTGTGATTAATAATTTATCCAGTACAACTAACCAGCTTAGTGCAGATTAAAAACAGGAAAATCCACAGAAAGGATAAATAAAGGAAGAGAAGGTAGAAATTGAGATAAAGTCCTTGCCACGTGCTGCTAGAGTACTATGGAAATGTTCTGTAAGTCCCTCTGTTACAGCACAACTGCGCATCACCTCTTGAGGCACAGGCTGAAGGCAGCTGGTCCAACTATATTTATTATTTCAATAAATAAAATAACAATATGTTTTTCAGATGCTTTGGGCTCTTGCATCCTCAATCATATGGCAAGATACTGTTCTATTATTTTAATATTTATATTTCATGAACATAAGATGCATTTGTAGGCACTTTATAGATGCCGAGTGAATGTCAGTTGCTGCCTGGAATTTCTACAACCTGAACTGTAGAAAGGCAACTGTAGGATACATGCAATGTGGGAAACCAGCAGCAATATAATGTGACGGCAGTAAATCTTGTTCCACACCTTTTTAATGTTGTTTCCAGATTTTCAGTGTGTCAAGGGAATTGCAAAAAGGGGAATAAGTAAAGCAAAACACTAAAGGGGAAAAAAAAATGGAAGGAAAAAGATGAGTTGGGGAGACTGTGCAAGATGAGGTCAGGATTGTAAAGGAAGAGCTCAGAGATGTCTCAGGCTTTTATTAGACAGCCAGCCAGCACATGCTACTGAGAGACCAATTAAATAGTTAAACAACTTTGTGCAAAGTTCTTTGAAGTGCCTTTCCACAGCAACTCCAGCAGCCTAGAACTGGTTGCAGTTGTCATCTTCACAGATTTGTGTATCTAGGTTCTGCATTAGAGTAGGAGACCTTCCCATCACTTTTTGCTCCCAGGAGCACTGTGAGCAGGACGGTTCAGTCAGCTCCATTTTAATTTCTACCCTACTTTCACTACATCAAATCCTGCTTTGGAGGCTGCTGTCACAGTGACAAGTCTCTGGCCAACTGGCTTGCCTGATTTTTTTCTTGACATATAAAATAAAATCTCATCAGCATTAGAATAATAAGCCCCATAGGAATTCATGTAGCCCTTTCATCAGTTAGCAAAAATATCCTCAGTTCTCTCCAAGTAAACTCTCAAACAGATGTTTTTTCATCAAAAAGTTGCCAAATTCCAACAAATTGGAGCCAAGTTGAGATACCAAATCCTGAGTCTTTATGTCCTTGCACTGAACATTCTGCCAGCAATTCCCTTCTTCTATAAAGAGGTAAATCCAGCTACAGAACCTCTGCTGTCAAGGAGTGAGACAGTGTCTCGAAGATAATTATTTCACACATTTCAGTCTGTATGGCTGAAAATCAACAGCTTAAACACTACCCTGAGATGAGTGGGTTGCTGTTGCAGATATTGATGCACTGGCATTATGTTTTCCTGGCAAAAGGCCCTGCTGTACATTTTGCACTAGGACCAGACTGACAGGTGCATGCAACAAAGTTAACCATGACTTAACAAGTTACCACTCGCTGCTGAGCCACGGTAACTGGCAGCATTAGGCCTCCTTGATCATTGCATTTGTGAAATAAAATTAATGCACATTAATGTAAGCCAACTTCACAGCCGCAGCAGAAAAAGAGCCTACAGAGGCAATAAGTGGCAACTCATTAAGCTAGAGTAATTTTGTTGCTTCTGATCATTTGTAAATTACCTCCACCTAACAAATGATTTTATGATGTAGTCACACAGAGAGAGCAATGCAGTAATCTAACATAAACAGCATCGATAAAACCCATCTTTGGTGAGGTTATTTCTCTCCTTAGCAAGGAATAAACTCTCTCACAGAAATATCTTTAGTTCTAGCTAACACTAAATGAATATAATAAAAAAATGTTCCTTGATCATTAACTCAAATTTTGAGATTTATGATTATTTCCTTTTTAAATAAAAATAATGATTGACTTTTATTCAAACGACTGCTTATGGAAAGCAATACAGTAGTATTCATAAATGCTACCTTTTTACCTGATGACAGTTCTCTTACAAAGTCATGAGCAGCATGGAAAGAGTAAGTAGGGCCCGGGCACTCATTTCCATTGCAAGAGTCAGAGGGCATCATGCTAGGCTTGTAGGAGCTAGGTTCAAACACATGACTATGAGATGTTTGCTTACGCTACTCGCAACAGATCTTCTGGAAAACTCTGCCAGAGGAGTGGTAGATGCAGGATGTACAATTTTGGAGAAAACAAACTGGCAGTTACTGCATATGTAGCTCAGTAATCTCTCTAGTGAGAAGGAGGAGAAATTATATACTAGTATGAAATAAACAGTTTATATGTAGGTTTTGATCTTAGAAGGTCTATGTCTTCCAGCCATGTGCTGATAGAAGGTCTATGTGCTGAGCTGAACAGAAACTTATCACTGCAAGGACTGTAAAAAGTAACAGTCACAATATTTTTTTCCCCCCATTCTTAGGAAAATGCATTTCAAAGCTTCTGTCATTTGAGTTCAGAATAGCTTTGAGAACATCAGGGAGAACTATCATCTATGATTGCCCTATTGTCTTTCTTCAGAAGGGTCTCTCTGATTACAGTCACTGTTGGAGACAACAATACCTGGGGTTAAACAGACTCTTGTTCTGAACGACTATGGCAGCTCTATTTTAGATGTGCTGGGTTTGTATTTCCATACATGCATGCCATAGAATGTAACATCAAGTCAAATCTAGCAAGTAGGCAGGTTAACAATTTTCTTCCTGACTCTTCCTCGCTACCAAGTAATCCAAACCAAGAAGAGAGGCAAAGAAGAAAGATGAGAGCTCAGCACTACTCTTTTTTTTCCCTCCAGAACTATGCATGCACATGCAGTTGCTTTCTTGTATTGCAGTGAAGCAAATTTTAAAGTCAGCAAGTCTCACAGTAACCTAATTTTGTTCTGGGAAGTATGCCTCTTAATCCAAGAGACAAGCTAAATTTGTCCATTGAATTATTTCCTGTGAATAATTCACTCAGCTTTACTATACCCAAGTTCTCTTTAAAGTTGGAGGAATGCATAGCTAGCTAACTCAACCCTACTATTATGTTGGCATTTCCTTAAAAAGTCTATTAAAAATGCTATTTTCCTAGCTATTTTTGTCCTGATTTACTGGATGCGTGTGTCAGCACAAAGCTGCCATGAACTTCCTTGATATTGAATCAAGCTCAATTCATGTTTCATTTTAAATAGATGCATACTGTTCTTTAATGTGTTTGGATATGGATAAGAGTCTTTAAACTCTACAGAATTCCAGCTATATACTACTGTTTTCTGTATTGATAAGAAGTATTAAATTTAAAAATAAAATGTATACTCTTGCAGCTTTTAAATTAACCCTGTCCTGTGGAAGAATGGGCCAGTATTTTTGCAAAGACTGCATGAGTTCAATGAAATTCATACAAGGGTCAGAAAACACCAAGAAGCACTACTGCAACAGCTTTAAGGGTGTAAGGGGGACTGCAGGGTCAGGACTGCAATAGCAGGTTTCCACTATTTAAGTTATGCCCATTTGCAGTTCCCCAGGAAATTTAACACATTTTTCTTACGGAGTCTACATGCTGCTAAATACTAGAAGCATTGGTGGACAGCTGAAGATCCACATAAACAAATGTATGATAAATATGGCAGCTGTCACACTTGACAGGTAAGGAAGGTAACCTCATGACTAACCTCATGTTTGTTCAGTATAGGACAAATGAGTAAAAAAAAATATACAATCCATATAATAATACAGAAAAAAATTTGTATATATAACATTGGAATGGCTATGTAGAAACAGATTAGTTCTACATATAAAAACACGCACAAGCCCCATAGGAAATACACCCAACCTGCCCACCTACCAGTGTGGAAATCTTTGTTTTCACTTTGTTTAAGTTCTACAAGAGCTATTACAAATAAAAACAAGCCAAAATTAATTCAAGGAAATACTGTTATAGCTCAGGACAGTGTTAGCTCAGTACATGGTTGTATGCAGTATAGCCACGTGCATTGCTCAAAGGGAGGGGATAAGTCAGCTGCTCTGAAGAACAGAAACATAACAGGGCTTATTTCCTTGGTGTTTACAGGTCTAATGTTAGTTTTTTAAGCTTGAGGTTTCTTTGCTTTTACTCATCCCATTTGAGGAGATCTCAATATCATTACAATTGCTTCCAGATTTGCTTTAAAACACAAATGGAATTATATTTCATCACTGAGCACTGAATTTTAAGGCTACATGCTGCAGCCCCTTTTCCTTGAGCAATTTACTGATAAACAGTTCTCTATGAGCAGGAAAATAAGCTTCGATGTTCTGGGACAGTCATACCCCTGCCCTTCACCTTCAAATGCTGACCTCACCCTGCTTCCTCATGCTTTGCTTGTCCTTCCAGCTGTGGACACGATTTCTCCTTCTTGAGACCTGTCTTCTCAATGGTAAAACAACAGCAGAGCAGACTTAGGACGATGACTGCTCTGCAGAATGGCCTGAAGAGGCTCCACCAGCCCTGACTGTCCCTGCCCAGCCTCCCTCAGGGCTCCCCACACTGCCCACGGCCCAGGGACCCACGTCAGCCCCCAGCTCTGTCAGCCCCTGCCCCAGCAATGCCATAGCAAGGCCTGTGCCCAGACCAGCCTGTTGCTGTCCTGGCAACAAGGCTGGTCCTGGCCTGGGCTTCTGGCGCGGAGGTGACCTTGACCCGCCACCTTGCACTGACCTGGCGATGGATCCCTGCTCTGTCCTTCGCCACCGGCCCAGCCTCGCCCACCCCGCTGTGGGGCCAGGGATGTGCTCCTGCCGGCCAGGCCCCGGCCTCGGCCACCGCTCTGCCCCGGCGGTGCCACCCTGCTCTCCTCGCTCTTGGAAAGGGCAGGGCAGTGGTATCAGGAAATGTCACATCTCCTCAGCCACGGCAAATCTGAGAGTCCCAACATACTCTCTAAAATCAC